CACACACACAGTAGTGAACACACACACACACCGTGAACACACACCCGGAGCAGTGGGCAGCCATGTGCTGGGGTGCCCGGGGAGCAGTTGGGGGTTCGGTGCCTTGTTTAAGGGTCTCACCTCAGTCGTGGTATTGAGGGTGGAAGAGAGCACTGGTTATTTACTCCCCCCCCGCAACAATTCCTACCGGACCTTCGGGTTACAAGTCCGACTCTCTAACCATTAGGCCACGACTGCCCCATGGTGTCTCCCCTGCCAGGTAAGTATTTACGCGGGTGAATCCACTAAATTGTTCTGCAAGTCATCCCTTACAAAAATTAAACATGGCTTTATTGTTGTAAAAGTGTAGTAACCATGGATTTTGGCATATTGTTTACCATTTGTATAACCACAGTTTAACCATGGTTTCCCTTTCATGGGAACTTCGATCTGCGTCCTCTAGGGGTCGCTATGGGCTGGGTTCAGCCCAGGAAGAGCAGGAAATGTCTGAGAAGGGCGAAGAAGCTGAGGCTGAGCCTTCCCAATCCTCTTACTCTGCGTATGATGAGCTCTTGGAAGTTATGGATCACGCCACAGCGAGGCTTGACTTGCCATGGAAGCGGACTAAGGAAGTGAGGTCGCGAGGTTGTCTCAATGAACGTAATCTTTCTGGCCATAGCCCTCCAGCTCAGGTGAGCCTTCCTTTCCTTCCTGATCTCCATACTGTGATCGAGAAGGAATGGAAGAGGCCGTTTTCCTCACGCATCCATCGGTTCCAGCATACCAGTTATGCCAACATCGAGGCGATGCGCGAAAACGGCTATGAGAGGATGCCCCCGGTAGAAGAGACGCTAGCCAGCTATCTCTCTATGGGTGAGACATCTTCTCTCAAAACTCCTTCCTTGCCATCCAAGCCCCTTCAGATTCCGTAGTGACGGAGTGGCATATGTGGGTGAACCTAGCAGACATCAGGAGGAAAGAAAGGGGATTTCTTCTCGATGCCCCGGTTTCGCCCTCTGAACTTTTTGGTACATCCGTTGAGACGGTCAGGGTGCTCGACTTGCAGTGTTTATTTCACTCGTTGATATATGTCCAGACGGTACGATAAGCCGGGTTTCGGTTTCATACTTCCTGGATCATGCGGCTAGGTCACAGGCCTTCTGCGGGAGCCTTCTTGATCATCAGGCACAGCACTGCAAAAAATTCCTGGACGTCCGGGCTGGGCTTATGCTTTCAGGCTGCCCTGTCTAATTTACCGTATCTTGGTCACCCTGAGGGGCCTCTCGATCACCAGGATATCCCCTCTTGCTGAGGCATCAAGCGGGAAGTATAGGTGGCATTTGCGAGAACCTTCTTTTGTAATGCTGTCTCAGGCAGTGCTCCCCTCGCCTTAGAGGGTTGAATTTGAGCTTGCCTCTCCCGTTTGGCCCAGTACCTCTGTGATCAGATGCCTGGAAATTTAAATCCATGCTATGGTAAGTGCACACGCTAAGCTCTGTGCACTTTCTGAAATC